AGTATCTGTGTGTGTTTGCCTTACAATTGGCACAACCAGGCGGAATAGAAGCGGAGGGGCTTGTGGTGGCGGCGGGGAAGAGCCAACGACGACAAGCGATTTCATTCATGAATTCATATGTACGCATATCTTATAGATACAAACGGGCGTCGTTGCGAGTACATGGCCTGCATCGATAGTGCCGGCATTGCCATAAATGAGTCGGGGTAAATAATAAATAAATAAATAAATAAATATCAATATGGTGATGTGTAGGAATATATATAAATGTATGTCGATATGAGCAATACTCTTACTCTAAGATACAACAAAAAACAGAAAACTCACAACGAATGATTTGTGGCTGGCAAATGCAAACACACGTCAAAGTAAAAATAGAAGAAAGTGTTTTCTTTGTAAATGCATTTGATTTATGGATGTATTCCGTAAACAAAAGCCATAAATACTCGATGGGATAGTGTATCTAAAGGGTATTGGTTTACAAGAGTTTACAAAAGAAGGTTTTATAAGGAAGTTAAAGTGAATAGATTTGGTTGCAATAACATGTTTTATTAAGAAAAGATACTTACAATTCTTGATTTTGTACAAGACTTTAGCTTATAAAATTCGTCAATAAATATATTGAAGCACTCTTAAGTTTGTAGAAAATGCTATTAATTTTTACTTTAGGAATTTAATAAAAGAAATGTGATTCAAAAAAATTTAACTAAATTCACATAATTCTTTTCTATAAAAAATTAGTTGCTCGACTTTACAGCTTACATTTCCTCATAATAAAAGTAATTATTTCGTAAATCAAGTACAGATAACCTTAAAAAATATGAAAATATTATAAATAGCCCACCTTATATAGATATTCATAACTCAACCTAATGATTTATTCACTATGCCCCACCAAAGAGAAGATCATCTCGGTTGAGTAAGTAATACTCAGCCTCATTTGGCATTCAGATCATGAATGAAAGCGTCATCTTTTCAAAGACAACGGGAGACCTCCCAGAAGCCGAAAATAAATAAATACAAACAAAAAATAAACGAAATTTTTCCAGAGAAGTAAATAAACAGAAATAATAACAATAATCGCGTTGGCTAATTTGCATAGTGGCCAAAAGAAACAAAGCAAAAGCAAAAGCACAACGCACAGCTTCGTTAGACGATTTTAATGTCTTAATATATTTCTTTAAATTGAGTCATTAAAATAAATCGCCATCGACGACGAGGATGAGGATGGGGATCGGAATCGGAATCGGGATGGAATGGAAAGGGGATAGGATGACGATGATGATGACGATGACGACGACGACGACCACAAAAGACGCTGACGATGTCGGCGCCATCACGATCGATCGTTTGCCACAACTTTCCAGCGGAGTTCAGGATGGTTCAGACTCCGGAGTCGAAAGCACGTTACAGCCCCAAAGCCCCAAAGACTTTACGAGAAATAATTGAGATGCACACACACACACGGGGCGAGGGCAAAAACACGGCAAGAGGAAAACAAACCACCTAAAGGGGTTGGGGGGAAACACACAACATTGGAGCAAGACACGCCACGCGGTCGCTCGAAACTGCATCTGCAACTGCAACAATGATGAAGACATCAAGCTGTAAAAAAAGCACCAGCGAGAACCAGCGAGAAAACTTGAGAAGAGGCCAAAGCACTCAGAGAAACAACGTTTCGGGAAACAGGTAGAAAATGTGAATGCACAGTTTTATAGCTAACTTAAGGTTTTGTATCTTAAAGATATTAAATTGAAAAGGAAATATCTATAAGGTCTTCATCGGTTGTTTAACCAAGAAAACTTTAAATTTGAACTAAGAAACTTCTTTGGTTCTTTATAAATTTATATATTTCTAATTAATTATGATTTATTTCACAAATATGTATGTAATTTCCCTGATTATTTTCACTCTAGTTACGCAATATCTAATGAAAAAGGTAGTGCAAAAGTGTGTTAAAATTCCACCACTTTTTCCAAACAATTTGCTATATTTTTTAAGGTCAGAAATTTCCCTGAATTGATCTACTTTTTTTTTGCTGTACGGTGGCTCACATTTTGATGGACAGTATTTCAATAGCAACTGGCAGCAAATATAAAATGCGTGCGTCAGTGAAATTTTTCCTTTTGCCTCGCTGTTTTTTCCCCCGTTTTTTTTATTTAGTTTATTTTTTGTAGTACTTTTTTTGGGCCACCCGCATTCAATGGCCCGAACCAAACCCGAAAAAAACGAAAAGCGATCTGTGGCCCGCTTCATTTGCATCGTCGACCAGAACAACAACAAAAAATAGCAGGAGAAACGCTTTGGCAACGACAATGGAAATAATGATTGTTTACTGTTCTTTTCAAGTTAGAAAACTTATTTTTTGAAAGACGACATAGAGATACACTGACACACAAAAGAATGGTGATAACAATTGCCTGTTACGAAATTGAAAAATAATATAAATAAACAATGTATGAAGTTAAGCCAAGAAAACGATACTTTTAAATGTCTTGGAATATGGAGGGCTTAAGTTGAAGTATCCATTACAAAATTCTATATTTCTGATTAGTTTTGTTGAATAAACTATTTTTCTTTAGCTTTATCATATACTATTTTGTAATCGAATTTAAATAAACTCATATAGATTAAATCTACTTTAGAGTAGAAGATCTTATTTTGATGTTTATAACTTTCCTTTTCTTCAATCACTTTCCAATTTATACAATTTGAAACTGACAAACTTTGCAATTAAATTAATATTTTACAACATTTTCAAATTGCACATTACTTCTCGTTAGTTTCTAAACAATCTGTGAAGCATGCTCGGCTGATATCAAAGAGCATCTGAGAAATGTAATAGGGGGTTTTCTCGAGGAGGTCTCTGACGATGGGATAGTGGGACTTTCGAGGAGGACGGACGGAGGACTGGGGCAACAGCACGTACGAAATGACTCTCGACTGGCGGCCCACCCATGTTGGATTGTACGGACGCACAGATACAAAGATACTCCGAATACAGATACACAGATACACTGGCACACTCGACTCGCCGTTGTTTATTATTTCTTGAAGCTTTTTGCCTTTTCGGCTGCCTTTTTCACTGGATCTCCTGCTGCTGCTGCCGCTTTTTATTTTCCATTTTTTTTATTTGCCTTTTTGCCAAGTCTCTGGCTGGGCTGCATTGCTGTTTTTGGCTCAGTTGCAGTTGCAGTTGTTATTGTTTCGCTTTTGCGGTCGGGCCAACTCTGCACAGTAGCGCCAAAGTAATGAAGTTGTCTGTGGATATGTCCGTCTTCGTCTCCGTCTCCGTCTCCGTCTCCGTCTGCATTCGGTTCGAGATACATTGGGGAACGCAGTAGGGTCCTGCTGTGTGGCTGCTCACAGCGCAAATAGTCGTAGATTGATGGCAATGCACACAGAAAAATTAACCACAAAATTGGTGATAAATTATCCCTATTATTATACCCTTATGGATCAATAACTATATCCTTGAATAGATCAATAGATCAGGAATTTGAAATAACGAAGAATGTCTACTCATTAGTTTACATTTAAAATATTTCCCTTACAGTTAAGGAGAAGCTTTAGCTATAAATAAAACAACTTAAAGTCGTTTCAATATCTTTAATACTTTTTCAAATTGTATCTTCCTGGTTAGATACTCAAATAAATATCTTTTTATATTCTATAATGCCATAAAACAACTTAAAGTCGTTTTAATATCTTTAAAAATGTGTAAGCATTTTATTTTCATGGTAAGACACTTTAATAAATACAAATTTCTCTTCTATAAAACCAGGCTTAGTATCAAAAAGCCCACTCTTAATACCTAAAACCCATGTCAGGTTAAGCTGACCACGATTTTTTATGGCCAGTCTTTGCGTAAACAAATGCCTATATATAGATATAAATCCTCCACGCTCTTGAGATATAAAAAAGTAAAATAACCAAAAAAATTTGCATATAAGCCGATTGGCCACATAATGCTTTGCGATTTTGGCTAATCACTGTAATTAATAGACGACTGGCAGGGAGACCAAGATTCCGACAACTCTATTAACCAGAGAACATTGAAACAGCAAAAAATGAAAACAAAATAAACTGAAATGAAATGAAATCGAAACGACTGAAGAAGACATAGCGACAACACAAAAAACGCGAAAAAATATTGCGAGAGATATTGGCAATAAAATTTATTGAAATCTGTCCCGCCGGCTTAATGGGCGCATTAAACAAAGTCGCTGCGCTTCGGCTTTTACAGTCCAACTTCTGATGTGTTTGATTTTTACCTTTAACTAAAGGGTTTCTTTTCGGAATTTTGAAATAAAATATAGCACTTAGAGTTTGGCGCATTTTAACCTAATTAGTTGTAAAAGGTTTAAAGTTGAAATATGTTCTTTTTTAAACTTCTAATGAAGGTTTATATGGGATTTTTTTTGCTTACAGAACTTACTAGCACGAATTTTTAAGGATAGATTTTAAAAGTATTTAAAATCAAGAATGAATTATAACCAGGGAATAGTTTTTTACTTTAACAAAAAATATATTTTATAGGTTTGTGAATATATATTAAATAGTTTGGTTATTTTGAGACCAATAATTATTATTTGAACTTAGCTTTGCAACCATTTTATAGCTACTGAAGACTTAAGAAGATGTCATTTGATAGAATAATATGTATTTCACATAATTTAATAAGAATCCCAAGCAAAAAAGGGTCAATATATAAAATGTATACCTTAATAAGTTTTAAGGCTCGTTTTTAAATATAGGTGTGTCAAAATTGATCTTTAGATACCCTACAAAATACATTTTTAATTTAAAAAACTATTTATACCTGAATTATAATAAATAGTACAAGCTAAGAAACCTCTTCTAGACTCGCAAAACATACAAATATTTTAAATCTAGCAAAATTAAATTTTCCAGGTATTTCGCTTAATATTTGAGATTTAAAATATAATCGAAGGAGTCTCCACTGTCTGTATAGGAATTACTACGTGTTTTGAACTCACCTTATCGATCTGGTCGAGCGCCACTTGGGCGTCCACCCAGCTGGTGCGTATGTAGAGATCCGAGAATAGTTTCTCATCGACCACATCGCCGTGTGTGTCCGGGACGCGTGGGAGGCTGTCGCGGTCCATTATTTAGCGCTATCTTCGCTGGCCTCGGATGCAGATGCACGGATGTGGATGCGGATTCCGGATGGAATCTGGGCAGATACTTTTTTGTGGAGCAGATACTTTTGTGCAGTGCCTCGGCGAGGCAGTTGGGACTTATAGTTCGATGAGTTTCAATTGCTGCCTTGAATTTTTGTTTTGTTTAAATGCATTTTGTGCACTGAACTCTGCATTTTTTCGCTCTCTTTTGCCTGCTGCTGCTTCTTCTCGCTCGTTCGCTCGCTCTCGCACGCTGTGTATCTTTTGAGCGCTCTTTGCTGTTGTTGTTTGGGTTTTTTGTTGTGATTGCTGGGCTTCGCTTTTTTTAATTCGAAAGATTTTTTCTCGTTGAAATAGACGCGCTTTTCTTTCGGGTTTTCGGGGTTTATCTCGGCGGCTGCGGGCACAATTTGTTGGGGAATTCGACAGAATTTTCACACATCATTCACACACATGGAAAACGTGCTCACGTTTTCTTTTCGTTGTCGTTTTGCTCTCGCTCGTACTCTCTTGCTTGCCGCGCTCTTTGCGACTGCTTCTTCTTAACACTTAACACGCACACACACTAAATCGAACTCACAGTGGCCGGATTTTTCGGCTTGTAATCCACAAAAACTCCGGCTGAGTTAGAATATCTTCCTCCTTGGCTCTAGCACGAGTTCTGCGCTATTTATCTTTGTTGTTATACCACACACAGTGGTGCACCGACAGATACAGTGGTCTCGCTCCGCACTCACAACCGTTTCGTTCGAGGATCGCACGCAGTTTGAGAGATGTATCTGTATCTCGCGGATGCGGCACGCCAGGCCAACAACTTCATTAGGCGAGAGCGCGCGCTCCCTCTCTTGCTCTCCCATTCAATCAGCTAAAAGTGCGCTCTCGCTCTCCCGGCTCTCTCGCTCTTGAGCGTCGCGGCCATTTTTGTTTAAGTACGCTCTCTCCGAGGGCCGGTCGAAAAGTAGTCACAGCGCAATGGAGTAAGGAAAATACCGAGGGGTGTTTAAAGAGTTTTGTAAAATCTAAGATTTGTGATTTTTAATTCTTTAAAAAAGAGTATCTATACTAAACGTGTCATTTTAATAATGTTTTATTTTATAGAAATTAAGGGCTTAATCAAATGATGCCAATTAATATTTTGTTTAATATTTATTTATTTATTTTATTTTTTTATTTTTTCCATAACCTTTGGTTCTACTAAGAGTCTTAGTTTATGTTTTTTATTTTTAAAACTTTCAATTATATCAAATTACAGACATATATTTTAAGTACACAAAATTTAAAAGTTTACACCAAAAGTTAAATAAATTAATTTCTATTCATCTATATATTGCAGAATAAGTTTATTTACATTCATAGATAAACATTTTTCTGATATATTTCCCAAAAATGGTACAGTTTTTGAGTCCCAGTTTGACATTCACTGAAATGTGTGAATATGAAAGAGCACAGCCCGCTAATTTCTATTGTTGTTATTCGTGTGTTTTTATTTTTATTTATTTGCTTTTTGTTTTTGGCGAAAGACCACCCAAATGTATTTTGCTGCTGTTTTTGCTTTTGTTATTGTTGTTGTTGCTGCTGCGGTGGTTTATTTTTTCACTGCATTGTGGACCACCCAAAAATGAATTTGTTGCTGCTGCCTTCATTAAACTGAAACCGCCAAGCGTTGTGGGTGGTCCGCAGCCCCCCTCCGGCCGCCACCCTTCTCGTGGCGTCGGCCTTCAGCGTCGGCAGCGCTGCTCACTGAAGCTTTTATCTCGGTGTGTGTGTGTTTGTGTCGGGTTGTTTGTTTGTTTGCTTGTGGGGAGCGCGTGCGTGGCAGGCTTTTCTGTCTCTGTATTTGTGTTGTTGGGGTAGAGTGTGCTTGTGTTCGTGCCGCGAACTGTTGGCAAATTTGTTAGCTTTACATTGCTTTTGTTGTTGCTGTTTTTGCTGCCTTTGATGTCTGTTTTTGCATGTTCTCGATGCTAAATTATGAGCAGCAGCAGCAGGATGTTTTTGTTTTCAGCTTTCTTATTTTTGCAGCATCTCTTTTTATATGGGAGTGTGTGAGCCTGTGTGGGCCACACAAGTTGTCATGTTTTTGCCGGTAAAAATTATAATTAAATATGAGTTTCAATGTGGTTGACTAAAAAAAATACTATTAGTATAATATTCGAATACTTTTGTTATTAATTATAATTGCAAGTTTTCCTTTTAATTAACCAAAATAATTATTTTAAATTACCATTATTTTAAAGAAAAAGAAATAGTTCACTAAAATGAATATTAAGGGAAAACTATGGAAATTTTTTTAAACAGGATAAATCAACTAAACAACTTTTAACCAAAAAGGGTAAATTATCGTTAAAATTTCAAAGAATGACAGATATATGTACATAATAATTAATTTGTTTCTTAAGAAAAAAAATACCCCAACATTGCCTTTAAAATTTATGAATGAAAATGCAATCGAGGCCTTTCCCTCCCTTCCTCGATTTTCCCTTTTCAAAGCAAAGATACAACCACAAAACAAACAAATAAAAACTCTTTAGAACGACCGCAAAAATTGGCGCTCGAATCTCCAACGAATTCAAATTCGAATGCAACTGCAGCGTCATGGTTCGCTCTCTCTTTCTCTCTCTCGCACAATGTCTGGGCGAGGCGGAGGAAGAGAAAGAGACGGAGATGGAGAGGATGGAGCTGTAAATGTGAATGTGAATGTGGACGTGGACCACCAAGCGGGGCTATTATAATCAAAAATACAACATCCCTGCAGCTTCTCCCCTCCCTTTTGGGATAACTCGCTCTCTTTCTCTCTAACTTGCTCACCTGAACTAACGTTGCATCAATGGCTCTCTGTTACTCGCTCTCGCTATCTCCCTCTCACACTGTGTGTGGCTCTTTTTGGCGACATGGGCGGCATTTTTTCTCCAACTTGCATATTTTAGCTTTATCCATTGCTCTCCCGATCTTTCGCTCTCCGATGATTGCGCCATCTTTGGCTGCCTGCTCTCGTGCTTTTGCTCTCAATGACTTGCATTTTGTTTTGCTTTCGCTCAATTCGCCTGCAGCTCCAATCCAACAGAACTGCTCCCCCATAAAACAGAGAGGGAGAGAAACACACACACACACACACTCTTGCAAGTGCGCTTGTGTGGCAGCTGCCACTGGACCACCAACGAAGCGGAGTTTGCTTTGAGAGCTTCATTTGCCGTTTCGTTTGGAGTTGTTGTTGCTTGGAGCATGAACAGGGGGCAAGATGGGGAGAAAGAGAGGGAGAGATAGAGAGGAAGAAAGATACTGGGACAGAGAGCTGCGACTGCTGCTTGCTGTTGTTTTTATGGCCGGAGTTGAAGTTTCAATCTCTTCTTCTTCTTCCGTGGCATGATCCACTTTTCGAAATCATTCACCTTTAAATAAAATATATTTATTTAACAAATTAAGCTTATCATACAATGTTAAACTTAACAGTAAAAGAGAAGAATATAATATAATTTTGATTGAAACTTTGCAATCATATCATATAATACTATTAAGTTGAAAAATATAATATTTATATTAGCGCTATATTAAAAACTTATTGAAGTCAAAATTGTTTAATTTTCCAGTCTGTTTTATAATGCACTTACTGTAATCTATAGAACTAAATAATATTATATTTATTTTATACAGTAATGCAGTTAACTAAATACTAAACTAAACCTATAATTTGCATTATTCTAATAATATATTTTGCATAAAATCATTTTATTCCAGAGTTAATCATTTGTCGTATTGAATGTTTAAATTTAAATGATATTATTTAAGCTCTATCAAAATGATTTAAAACCAATAACGACGTTATTTTTGAAGCAACATAATATTGAGGCTTCAATGTTTAGTAGAATTGATTTCATAATTTTTATAAATAGTTTGTTTAAAGTAAGTTTATTTTTTTACACTCTCCACAATAGGTGTAAATGATTTCTTTAGATTGTCTCGCTCATTCAGCTCAGTTTCCTGAGCTTGGATCTAACCCTGATCTCCTCGCTGCCTGTCTCTGTCGCTCCTTTGGCAACTTTAACGACAGGCTGTTTGTTTTTAATCGTATAATGTCTTAATTTATAGTGCAGCGTTGCCTAGACCTCAACTTGATACACGATCCCCACCGCGCGTACCCCTCATCAGAGCACCGAGAGCTCCATGGCAATGCAATTGCATTTGTCATTGGCCTATAGCGCCATTAACATTACTCCGCTTGCAGTATTCCTGGGGTTCCCCTACCGAGTCCCCCTCCCTGCTTTCTGCTTTCCCAACGCCCATTCACAACGGCTACTCGGAGGGAAAAAATGTGATAGCTTCGGGATCTCTGGTATTATTTAAGTTCTGGAATATACTTTTAGATATACTCCTTTTATAAGTGAGAAATTTTTTTTAATTTTTTAAAATCAGTATATATATTTGGTTAATAAATAATTTAGATAAATAATAAGCACTCTAATTTTATTCATATATTCATATTTTAGTTAATAAAGTTTTAATAGGTGTGTTTTGTGGTTTGAGTTATTATCAACTTTACATTATTATCTTTGATTACATAGAAATTATTTCACGTCTTTTTAAACTTTTAATATCCGTATCTTAAAGATCTCTTTCTTTTTTTAAAGATACCTGAAACAGACGTTGCCACTGTTTACTTATATTTTCCTTAATTAGTTAGACATATTTTATATAACACATTTTAAAGTTGTATATAAACTATTACTATTTATATTAATAAATCATAGATTGAATTCCTTTGGATATGCAAAAGTAATACAGTTTTAAGAGGATCATCCCTATAATGTATTTTTTATTAAGACCATACTAATAATACTCTCTTTTAATTAAGTAATAATGTTCTTACTAACTAGTTAAAGCCAAATTCTTTCAGTGCAGTCCAGAGTCTTGCTCTGCCACTTAAAGTTTAACTGCATTCGCAGTCGCAGAGTGCAAGCAATTTTTATGGCTAAATGTTGACGTCCCTGCTGCATTATTGCGGTGCATTTAATGTAATAATTACTATTTGCCACCGGTAATACGTAGGCTCGCGATTCCGAGTCCCCAGCGACATGGCGTGTGTGGTTTTGGCTCCGTCTCCAAGATCCCTTCCTCATCCTCCTCCAGGTCCCCCAGATCCCCCGCCTGCGGTTTCGCTTGGGGTTTGGGGCAGCTAACTCGTTATCTTGGCGTCGGCTTTTGCGGTTGCGTCTGCGATCTGGGGGACCGCGACCGGACCGGGGTCTGGAGCGGAGCACCTCTGTTCCCTGTGCCGCGCCGCAACTCGGCTGGGTTTCGGATCGGATCGGTTCGTTTGTTCATGTAATCAACCGCCCCGTCGTCCAACGGCGACCGGCAACCGACATCGCCAGCTGAGCAACTGGGGAACTGAGCAACAGGAGGAGTCGGGGGGGAGTCCCCAACTCCCGACGGTGTGTGTGGCTTTTCCAGCTTCTTGTGTGGTCCTGTCAGGCTTTCAGCTTTGCTTCGACCAATGCACTCTGCGAAAACTAACCCAAAAGTATGCTCAAAATTTGGGGAGATTTGAAATCAAAGGCAAGGTTATAATAAAAGGTTTTGTCAAATGTGGAAAAATTATGACTATTTTAAAAATGATGTATTTTTTACATATGTAGGTATAGCAGGAAATATTTAAATAACTTAATCTAAGAATATATATGTATTATATTTAAGTTATGGATTTTTAAAAATAATTTAAAAATGCAGCCTTTGAGAAACGTGAACTCTAA